GAGGGACACCCTGAAGCACCGATAGGCATTAATGCTACCCCTGAAAATGAAAGCAAGCTCGTGCCCAGCTCTTACAAGGCAAGACAACCTGGAATAAACTGTAACACTCTTGATGTTCATGAATCTGGCAACACTAGAACATATTTTTAGGGTTTATTAGGTAGACAATGCATTTGACTGTAGGGAATTTATACTTGAAAGTTCATAAAACAGTAATATACATGTGTCTGTCTACATTTGAGCAAGTCATGGTCCACATCCAAAATCTGAGAACCTGGAAGGGACATATTACAATTTCACCACAACAAAAGCAAGGTTTGATTCAGCATGGTTGTCAAAGCATGGAAGCAAAAGTTCACTGTCATCCACTAAAGCACAAGTGGTCAAAGAAGCACAAGTTCTATTAATTTAGTCCTGATCCTAAAATAAGAATTTCTCAAAAAAAATAATTGCAGAAATCTTTGCTTCCCATCTGAGGTGAAGAACCACGTTACACCAGGAAGCCTACTCATTCCATCAGAGGGCCTTGCAAAAATGTTGTGCAGCTAAAATAGATGAATAAGAATTCTGTAGGTAGTGTAGCAGCTGTCCAATTCCAGAAATGTCGACAATCAAGTAAATAGTTCCACGAACGAATGGATCGTATCGAATTAAAAATGAAAAGAGTTATACCCTTGGTTGCCACTTTACGGAAAATCATTTGGTATCAATATTTTAAATACATGTAAGTCGATTGGTGAAATAATATCTCTTTTTAGAAAAACATGTTTTTTTACCATCCGGAAAAGAAAAGATTTTGTTGTGAAAATTTTGAAGAATTGTCCATACGTAAAATCATAATTATTAATATAGGTCTTTTCCACGTAAAAAAAATATTTTGTTACAATAAAAACACAAGTTATATTGATTATTCAATAATCAAAGTCGATTTAAGGTATTGACGAAATTTAACCAATTGTATAGATCGTGGAATATCATTAAGAAATAATAATGTGTTATTAAAAAATTTCCTCCTATGGTTTAATCTCTTAAGACTTTCAAATCACTGTGGTTCAGATTTTAAAAGCATATGACATCAAGAATCTTAGTAAAAGAGTTAGGTGACGTTTCAAGTGTGTGAAATTATTTCAGAGTGGTGCCAATGCATGTATCTATTGGAATCAAACCACAGGAAATAAATATCTACTACCGTGTCATTAACCTGAGCAAATTAGATATTTGTAACATAGAAATAAAACCACAAATAGACCTTTCGTATTAGAATAATATTTCATTTTGAATTTGACCCGTCTACTAGAAACCATCTAGTGTTGTTGAGAATAATTAGACTGTCTAATGCGTTTTGTTATAAATGTTTTAACGGTTTTGTTTTCTTTTAAACCGTTTTTATTATTCCCTTCGTTTAGATTTTATTTCTAGAGACTGTTAAGAACTTAGACGCTAAATTATATCTCGTATTAAACTGTGTTCTGGTATTAGTAAAATTGTTTCTTTTTTCAATTTTGTTTTTAGTGTTTTCTTGTTTGTTACAATGGATAACCCAACTGATAGCATTATTCTACCTCAACTAAGAGATTCTACCTTCTCTGCCTCGGCAGAACTCTATTCCTTCTAGATATAGATATACCTTTTCTTGCAAACATTGATGTACGGATTACCTTTATGTGATTGCTTGTGCCTATGTGATTGTCATGCTTAATGGCATTGCTTGTGAAACTGGGCTCTCCAAGACTATGATTCCTTTTACTTTTACATCTAAGATCTCTACTGATTTCAACTCTAGCATGATGTCTTCTTGGTTCCAAAGACTTCCTTGTGTGAGAGGCTTTATAATCTCTATTACGCGAAATTGATCTGCTTATTTTTGTACGTGTTGGAAAATGGTGCGAAAGGCTTTCACCTGAGTACAATTTTTTTTTTCATGTCCATTCTGACCCTTCTTATTCTCCTTCTTCTCTTGATATTGTGTAGCTTAATACATAAGAAAGTGCAAGTATACTCCCAAACATGCCCATATCTTTTTGCAAGAACACCGGCAAATACATCCACATATGCCCAATTTATGCACCAGATAGAAGAACAACAGAACTGCAAATAAACAGAACATACAAATCCAATTTCAGGTTCGTGTCAGGCACTACAATAGACCATGCTGCAATCTAACAAACAGTTGAACTCACCAACGTACGATAGCATAAATACCATGGCTAATTTCAGGATATTGGCAATGCAAAAATTTTCGATATAGCACATGAAATCCCATGTTGGTCCACACACTGAGCTGAAACACAAAGAATCAAAGAGCTGTAGGAGATATTCATCAACAGTTAATACTATTTATTACCAATGAAAAGTATTCAGTGAGGGTTTTAGCAGAACACTGATGGGAATGCATTCAGGAAGAAGCGAATAAATATCCTTGATTTGAATATTATAGCCCGTGATGTTCTCAATATCCAAAACCTAATTTTGCCACAATCTATTTGCATGCTTACAGCATATAATTAATATCTTTATATTTAACATAAAAATAAAAACACATACATGTGTATATTGATTTATATCAAAGAGAGTACATTAAGAGAGACTGGTGCATTAGCATAGAAGCATCTATGTTCTGTTTTATGGTACATGTGTGTTCCTTGTACGCAGTGTGTACAGTTATTTTTACTACACTTTTGAATTTCTTGCTTTTCTTTAATTCTAACTTGTGTAACTCTACACTTTATTATCTCTCTTTGTTGAGGATGCAACGTATTTACATAGATAACAAGTTAAAGAAAAAGTGGTAACCGTTAAAATTTGTTACATATTTTTGAAAGAAAGAAAAAACTGTCGACAAAAAAGCTAGGTCTAATAACTGCTTGAAGAAGAAGAATCAAATCAATCCATCCTTTGAGATGATGACCCAGGGAAGAATAGCAGAACTACCAAAACCACAACCATACATCTGGGGTGGAGAAAAAAAAACCCTAATCCCACTGAACCCAAGAAATTCGAATAATATTTAAGAATAAGATCATTGGATAAAAATAATATTGAATAAATAAAATTAAGTGAAATGAATAATCAAGGTAGAAAATAATAAGTTACAACTGTATGAATATTTTATTCAACTCAAACTTATATTTTAATTTCTTATAAATATATTTAAAATTTTATTTTTAATATGATACTATTGTGTTAAAATTTAATAATAAGTTATATAAAATTAAAGTCCATTGTAATAGTCATTATAAAAATTATACATGTTATTTTTTAGTTAAAGATTCA